GGGGTGGAGAGGAGGCTAGACCGTCCAAATTCACAGCCTCTTTTTTCCAGTCTACCAAGGACCCGGCCCACTGCGACCGGGGAGTCTGGGTCCTCCGGAGGTCCCGGCCTGTCGTTTTGGACACGGCCTTTTTGTGTTTAGATGAGGTTAAACATGAAACATTAAAATAATTACAACTGGCCCTTTCAGGGCCACCATAAAGCTTGAGTGGCCCTAAGGGAAAATAATGTCGACACCCCTGTCCTGGAATCTTAAAATTTTGCACTTAACCTATCTTTCCTTTTGTTTTTCTTTACTTGTTCCTGTCTGAAGCTGGTGCCCATCGTCAGCAGGTATTGTGCTAAAAGTAGGTTCCACCCTGACAACTTTGCAAAGTCATTTTTTTTAACAATCACTAAATTGTGATCATGGTGTGGGCTCATGCAGCTCATTTATCTTTAGGGCTGTGTGCCAGTATTTAAGTCGTCCTCAGACCACAGCTGCACAAGGAAGTGTTGCTGATGGCTGACAGGTGACAATCCATGACCAGTAAAATCCCAAGCTGCAGCTAAAAACAGAACCGTGAACTCAAAAAAAAAAGGCTTCTTATTTTAGTTTTGTTGGACAAAAACTGGGTGACGTCCATAATTGTTAGAAAGCCAACATGAAATCCTGATTGGTCAGAAGTTGTCGCTAAATTTTATTWAAAAAAAAAAGTCACTCTGCAAACGCATGAAAAGATGAACACGTGTTTCATTTATTTTTCACACACAGAATTTCTCGTACAGCACAAGGAAAACCCATCAGGAGGGAAGACGGAGTGCATCCAAAAAGAAAAAAAAAGTTCCTTGGCTTTTCAAAAGAGAAAACTGAAATTAAAAATTGTTTATTTTTTTACACAGTTGGAACAAAAAGAAGCACAGGCGGGGGAGAGACATGTCAAAGTATCAAATACTGACGCTAACCCAACGTATGCATAGCCATTGTACAGCATCRTTTTAGTGGTTATGAGCTTGTGCACGAGAGGCGTGGCTACCCGAGACTGTCRAAATAAAAGAGGCAGGCAACGGCATGACACTGTACAGATGAGCTCTCAGAAGTCTCCTTTACTTTTCTGCTTCAGYGCTGCAGCGACGAGCAGAAACCTTGCTAAACGTTCATACAGGTAAAGTAAATTGCATACTGCCATTCGTTATTTATCCTCAGAAAGGCGGGTCTGTGAGCCCACCAGCCTTTGTCACTGTTAAAATCAGATTTCCTTTAAAGCATGCAGTGGAGTCACAGCCAGCTCCTGCTGCMGACGGACCAGACTTAGAAGTTATCAGCTCAATACGACACCATAAGGACCGAAAACAGACTAAAATATGATTACTACCACTTCTGAAAAAAGGGGGTGAAATATAAAACAACAAGCAGCAGACAGGAAGCCTCGAATTCTTTAAAAAAACAAAACAAAAAAAAAAGCAGTTATTTTTATTTGTACACTGGATGGCTGCTGATATAAACCCTCTGGATGAAAAAAACAAACATAAATCCCTACCCGTGTTCTCCTGCTTGTTCATCTTTAAATTMGTCTCTGAACCCCAAACAAGCCAGAAGTTAAATATCAATGCGTGAAATGAGAAATCACTTGTTATAAAAATAATAATAAAACTGAACTTAGTAACAAAACATCTTAAAATGTGCATTTTTTTTTCATTTTAAACACTGGTGCAGGAGCAGAGAGCTCTGATATACAGTTTTACTGTCGGCTCGAAATGAGAAAAATAAAAATACAAAAGCAGATTTAAACAGTTTGACTTTTTTTCTGCCTGTTTTTCATTAATTTACTGTATCGACTGAGGTGTGGTTATACATATGACACGGTGAAAACAGAATGTGTTTATGGTCAAAGGTCAGGGCTCTGGTGTCGGCCTAACTCGGATTCCAAACTAAACGATTGAAGCAGCRACTATTTTCCTCCCAGACGGTCTGAAAATCCTAAATTTTAGTTCTCAGTTCTGCTCTGGAACACATTTGTTCAATTTGACCTTTGTTTTTTTTTTTTTACACGGCAATCCCATTACTTCTGTTTCCCATCACTTCAGGAGGAAACAGTAAAAATGCTGTGTAAACAAAAGAGGTCTAAAGTATCTCACTGGACTGGGMCTGCAGGAGAGGAGTCTCCACAATGTTTTGTGGAGTTTCTCAGTTTCTTAACTCGAGTCAACAGAGGCCTGCAGCCTCATTGCTTGTATTTTTAATACGKAAAGTATTTTTTCCCCTCTGTAAATTGAGCTATTGCAGGTGTTTAGATTCTGTTTTTAGTTTTTGTTGCAGKTGTCTTCAGTTCATCTCCAGATCTGTTTCTTGGACAGGATGATTAATAGTGATTTAAAAACAGGTCCAAATCRGCCCATTTTCATTTCAAACCTGTACTCCTGAGGATTAAGTTACAAACATGGAGGCAGCTGTCAGGTAGGTGTGATGCAGATGAATGAAAACGTATGTACAGGTTAGTGGAGTGGTTCCCAACACTTTTTCC